GCAGAAAGAACAATACTCAAGTTTATATGGAAAAACAAAAGACCCAAGATAGCCAAAACAACCCTGTACAATAAAGGAACTTCAGGAGGCATCACCATTCCTGACTTCAAGCTCTACTATTGAGCTATAGTCCTGAAAACGCCTTGATATTGACACAAAAATAGACAGGTAGACCAATTGAATCAAATCAAAAATACTGATATTAACCCATAAACCTACAAACACCTGATTTTTGACAAAACAGCTAAAATTATACAATGGAAGGAGGAAAGCACCTTCAACAAATGATGCTGGCACAACTGGATGATGGTGTGTAGAAGACTGCAGATAGACCCATGTCTATCGCCATGCACAAAACTTATGTCCAAATGGATCAAAGACCTCAACTGAACCTCTTAGAAGAGAAAGTGGACATTACCCTTGAACAAATTGGTACAGGAGACCACTTCCTATACATAATACCAGTAGCACAGACACTGAGATGGCAATTAATAAATGGGACCTCCTCAAACTGAGAAGTAAGGCAAAGAACACAGTTGCCAAGAACAAATGGCAGCCCACAGACTGGGAAAAGATCTTCACTAATCCCACATCTGAGAGCGGGTGGCTGATCTCCAAAATATACAAAGAACTCAGGAAAATAATCACCAAAACACCAAATAACCCCATTAAAAAGTGAGGTACAGAACTGAATAGAGAATTCTTAATAGAGGAATCCAAAATGGCTGAAAGACACTTAAAGTGCTCAACATCCTTAGCCATCAGGGAAATGCAAATTAAAACAACTCTGAGATACCATGTTGCGCCTGTCAGAATGGCTAAAATCAGAAACACCAATGACAGCTTATGCTGGAAAGGATGTGGAGAAAGGGGAACACTCCTCCACTGCTGGTGGGAGTACAAACTTGTACTGCCATTTTGGAGATCAGTATGGTGGTTCCTCAGGAAAATGGGAATCAGTTACCAAAGGACCCGGCAATTCTACTCTTAGGCATATACCTAAATGATCCATATCATCCAACAAAGACTATGTTCATAGCAGCATTATTTGTAATAGCAAGAACCTGGAAGTAACCTAGATGCCCCTCAACTGAAGAATGGATAAAGAAGATGTGGCACATCTACACAATGGAATACTACTCATTGGGGGGGGGGAAGGGGGGCAACAATGGTGTCTTGAAAACTTACTCTAGAGAAATGTCCAGACACCTACAATGATTACCCCAACTAACAATCTGAGCAACAGTGGAAATGCTATCTTAAATGCCCTTCCCTGATAATGAGATTGATAACTAACTGATATGTCACCCTAGAACCCTCACGTAGTAGCTGCTGGAAGCAGAAGCCAACACCCACAGCCAAACATTGAGACAAATAACTGGAATCCAGTTGCAGAGAGGGAGGAGTGATAATCAAAGAGGTTAAGACCAGGCTACAGCACAGAGACAGCTGATAGCTGGGAAACCAGCATTGTATGACTCAGACCCCATGAACTTGGGTCTCAGTTAGAAGGCCTGGGATGTCTAAGGGACCTCTGCCAGTGGAACCAAGATGTATCCCCCTGTGCACAAAAGGACTTTGGGAGCACATTCCCCATGGAGGGATACTCCCTTAACCTAGAGGCAGGAGGGAGGGCCTAGTCCCTACTCCAAATGACTTGACAGATTTTGTTGATCCCTCCTGGAAGGCATCACCCTCCCTGTGTTGTGAGTGAGGAATGGACGGGAGGAGGGGGTCAGGGGGCATAGGAGGGAGGAAGGGAGGGAGAGTGAACTGGGATCGATATGTAAAATAAGAAAAAATAATGAAGAAACAAAGAAAAAAAACAGACAGCAGCCATTATAAAATAACTGTGAGTGCCTTAAAAAGCATTTTTAAAAAACTGTAAAGAAACCACTAAACTTTACTAAAGAGACAAAGTTCTTAGTGGCAACTGTCATTCTGTGAGGCTTAAAGTGAGAATGTCCTCCAGGAGGGGCCATGTATTTGAATACTTGGTTCCCAGTTAATAGAAGGAAGTGTGACCTTGTTGGAGGAGGTGTATCACTGGTGGCAGGCTTTGAGGTTTCAAAAGACTCACACCATTTCCAGTGAGCTCTCTTCTCTCTCTCTCTTTCTCTGTCTCTCTCACGTGTGTGTATATGTGTGTGTGTATGTGTGCATGTGTGTGTTTATGTGTGAGTGTATGTGTGTATGTGTGTGTATGTATGTGTGTATATATGTGTGTATATGCATGTGTATGTGTGTATGTATATATGTGTATATGTTTATGTATGTGAATGTGTGTGTGTATGTGTGTATGTGTGTATGTATATGTGTGCATGTGTGTTTGTATGTGTATGTGTGTATATGCATGTGTATGTGTGTATGTGTATTGCGTGTATGTGTGTGTATGTGTGTATGTGTGTGTATATGTGTGTGTTTATGTGTGTGTGTCTATGTGTGTGTACGTATGTGTATGTGTGTGTATATGTGTGTATGTATGTGTATGTATGTGTATGTATGTGTATGTATGTATATGTATATGTATGTGTGTTTGTATGTGTGTTTGTATGTATGTGTGTATGTGTATGTATGTGCATGTGTGTATATGTGTATGTGTGTATGTGTATGTATGTGTGTTTGTATGCATGTGTGTATATGTGTGTGTATGTGTGTATGTGTGTATATATGTGTATGTGTATGTGTATATGTGTGTGTATATGTATGTGTGTTTGTATGTGTGTATGTGTATATGTGTGTGTGTATGTGTGTGTGTATATGTGTGTGTATGTATGTGTGTGTATGTGTATATGTGTGTGTATGTGTGTGTATATGTGTGTATGTGTGTGTGTATATGTGTGTATGTGTGTGTGTTTGTATGTGTATGTGTGTATGTGTATATGTGTGTGTATATTGTGTATGTGTGTGTGTATATGTGTGTATGTGTGTAAGTGTGTGTGTATATGTGTGTATGTATGTGTATGTGTGTGTATGTGTATATATGTGTGTGTGTGTATATGTGTGTATGTGTGTGTGTATATATATGTGTGTACGTGTGTATGTGTGTGTGTGTATATATGTGTGTGTATGTGTATATGTGTGTGTGTATGTGTGTATGTGTATATGTGTGTGTATGTGTGTGTATATGTGTGTATGTGTGTAAGTGTGTGTGTATATGTGTGTATGTATGTGTATGTGTGTGTATGTGTATATATGTGTGTGTATATGTGTGTATGTGTGTGTGTATATATATGTGTACGTGTGTATGTGTGTATGTATATGTGTGTATGTGTGTGTATGTATGTGTGTGTATGTGTATATGTGTGTGTATATGTGTGTATGTGTGTATGTATATGTGTGTATGTGTGTGTATGTATGTGTGTGTATGTGTATATGTGTGTGTATATGTGTGTATGTGTGTGTGTATATATGTGTGTACGTGTGTATGTGTGTGTGTATATGTGTGTATGTGTGTGTGTATATGTGTGTACGTGTGTATGTGTGTGTATATGTATGTGTGTATATGTGTGTATGTGTGTGTGTATGTGTGTGTATGTGTATATGTGTGTGTATATGTATGTGTGTGTGTATATGTGTGTATGTGTGTGTATGTGTATATGTGTGTATGTGTGTGTATATGTGTATGTGTGTGTATGTGTATATGTGTGTGTGTCTGTGTATATGTGTGTCATAGTTGTGGATCAGGATATGTGCCCTCAGCTATTCCTTCACTCCACCATTATGGAACTAATCCTTTGAAACAATAAGACAAAACGATTTTTCTTATAAGTTGCCTTATAAACAGAAAAGTTACTATAACATTTTCTTTCAGGGGAAAACACAAGATTCCTGATGCATAGTGTTAATAAAAATCAGTTCTAAATAAACTTTGATCTTACCTGTGCTTGGTCATGAGAATTCATTTTAGTAAGTCATGCTTAAGAAGGCAAGCAGTGACTTCAATTATATGTTATCAGGAATTGCATATCCAAGTGTAATGAGTTGAACAGATTATAGGTCTGTCCCCTGACCTGCACTGAAATCTAAGCAAAGGAAGATTTGGTGCCAAGTGTCTAACCCAGCAGTGAATCTGAGGCTTAGTCAATGAGAAGAGACCACTGTCCCTGATTGTCATGTTGTCTATTAAAGTAACCCAGAGACCCCCATATTTAATGTCTTGTTAAGCTTAGCCATGACTCCCAACCAGAAAGATGGCCTGGACAGAGCTCTTCTCCAACCACGTGCTGAAGAGTATAGAGGATTATGGGCCCAGCACAGACCCTTGCAGATCCTAAGGCTGAGGAAGGAAGTGTGCCTGAACTTTAGCCTGCCAGAGGCACATTCCCTTGGGCTCAGGTGAAATTTAAAAAAAAAAAAAAAAAAAAAAGTCTCTGGCCTACAGGTACTGCTCCCCAATCTTATAACAGAATAATAGAATAATGTTCTCTGTTGCCATGACAGAACTGCTACCAAGACCCAGGAGGGTCACTGGCAGGTGGGGACTGATGCACCCCTACAGAGAGCCCCTACCAAGAGCACATGACCATGACCAGGCAAGAAAGTTTTCCACTCCAGGAAGCATTTGCCTGGGAAATCCCAGACTGCCTGCTGCTTGTCATCACAGTACCCTACAGAATAGTGAAGACCCTGAACTCTCAGTGGCCCTGGCATCTCCAGTAGTCTGGAGTGATGATCAGTGAACACAGCTTCTCTTAGCCAATCGCCCTATCCAGAGAGCTCATTCTCCAAGTCTGACTAGCCAAGTGTCAAGTCCCAGTCCCAGAACTGAAAACAACATCCCACTTCTTACCCAGCCTGCTGTGTCTCTCCGGGCCTGGCTTTGATGTGTTTGTGCTCACACACACACATCTTTGTTTTATTCTTTGGATGACCTTCAAAGTCCTGGTCCCACACTGAAGATATTCCCACATTCTAGAAGATACTAGTTGAGGCGGTGACCTATATCTGGTTTCAAAGAGGGGAGGAGGTCTGGAAGGGGGAGGGCTGGCTTCTCTTACCTGGGCCATTGCCAGCCAGGCTGCTCTCCATCCCTGAAGGCGTCCCACTGCATCAGTGCTGGGGAGGTCGAAATCTGGAAGAAAAGAGCAAGAATGGCTGAAGGCACACAGTCAAAACCCATTTTCCCAGCCATCTCCCATCTCATAGCCCACAGTTTTTTCTGAGTTCTATCCACTCCCTCAGGTGAAAAGTGAAGATGGAAGGTAAGTGGGCACAGTTCTCATGTAGAAGAAACTGGACCTGAGAGGGGCCACGATGAGCCCAGAGACAGAGACGGCTAAGCAGCTGAACTATATACAAATTCCTCAGGCCCCACACCCTCTGCGTGGATAGAGAGCATGTGGGGGGCATGGCACCTGAGAACCAGGTACCTCAGGTAAGGTTAGATATGAGGGGGCCTGTGCAAGAAGACATCTGGAGGGGCTAGGGATGTGACTGTAGCTGAGTGCTTGCCTAGCATGTGCAAAGCCTAGAGTACAATCCCAGCACTGTCCCCAATACTAAAACAACATTGGCAAGGCAGACTTTGTCCCACATTTCCTAAGTCAATGGGACACTCTTCCAATATCCTAGAACAAACCCCTTCATGACATCTCATAGCCACCATCGCCACCGCCGTTGCCACCACCACCAAGAACATGCTAGCTCACCACTCCCTATTTTATGATCATCTTTTGAATATTCCTGACTGCTTCCCTTTATGCCTGGGTTATGGTTTGAGACAGACTATATAGTTGCTCGGATGACCCAGGCTTTGACCCCCTCTGCTCTACTCTCCCTCCATGGCAGAGGCTGTGGGAGTATACAGCAGGTGGCAACTAGTATTTAACAGGTCAACCTACTAGATGAATAACTCTCTGGTGGGGAGACCCACTGGAAAAAGACCATGGGGTCACCAACTATAAGTAACTGGTTGCTTCTATCTGTAATTGTTCTCAGGTGCATACATTCTTTCCCTTAAAAAAGCTATTGGTATTTTCCCACTGTGTGTTTATCTCATGTATGTATGTATGTACGTACATACATACATATATATATCTACTGGGTACACTTATATTTATGGATGGTCAGGAAGATGATTTCTGCTTAATATGTACAATTCTGATAAATAGAAATACTAGGATATCAGACTAACATAGGAAAGTAATAGTATTCTCAGTCACAAAGACAGCTAATTTTAGACTTCAGAACAAATACAAAGCAAACTGGTTGCCCCTGAAGACAAATACACAAGGACAAATTCCCAGGTGTTTATTGCTGATTCAAGGTCAGGCATGAAGCAACTTTGGTAGACACAACTCCCTGCAGTAATAGACTTTCTGTGTGTACTCCTAACCTCAAGGTTCAGCCAACTAAGTGTTTATCATTTAAGTCCTGATTTCAATGTCACTTTCTGTCTGGGAACCCTGACCACTTAAGGGTTATGTGCACAGCCAAGCATCACTCACTAGCCTGAGAGAAACTGTGTTGTTATCAATATAGCTCTGTCTCTTATTGTTTACTCAAGGGTTGTGTAACCCTGAAAATATGATTCATATTTGTCCAGAGGCTTTGCTGAAGAGGGAGAAAAGTGTGTGTGTGTGTGTCTGTGTCTGTGTGTCTGTGTGTGTAGAAGTGAGATGGAGACTGTGAGAGATGTACAAGGAAGTGAGTGAGTGAGTGAGTGAGTGAGTGAGTAAGTGATGAGTGGATGAGTGGATGAGTGATGTAGAAGAGAGATGTAGCTGTGGAGAAATGTTACAGACTAGAGAGATGTGTGTGTAGAGAGAAATGTAGAGCTATGTAGAAAAGAGATGTAACTATGTATATAGATGTATTTGCAGGAGAGAATTATGTATGTAAAGAGAGATATGCAACTATATGCAAAGAGATGTAACTATTCAGAGATATTATTCAAGATGAAGTAAAAGAGGTTACCATCAGAAAGTATGTGCATTTCGTTACTTACCCTCAGATAGAAAAGTCTAGCCATCAGGTAGAGAAGAAATTTATCTAAGTCCTGCTGCTCTGAAGGCATTCTTTCTGCTACCTTGGGTATCTACAATCTCTGCCTGCCTCGCGCTTGCTTCCTTCTTCTGCTTAAGGGTTACCTTACCAGAGTGGCTGGGTTACCCTGGGGCCTCAGAGTACAAGTGCAATTCCCCTCACTTTTCTTTTCCATTCCCCAACATTCAGGAGAGTGTGAGGCAATGTCTTTTGTAGGCCAGGCTGGTCTTGCTTGTCATGTTCTCTAGGTTGACCTTCAGTTTATAACCTCTGACCTCCAACTCCCTAGTGCTGTGGCTACAGACCTGTGCCGCGATGGACTTTCTATGCAGTGCTAGGCAGAGAACTCAAGGCTTCCAGCATGATATACATTCACTCTACCAAGTGAGCTACATCCCCAGCTCACCACCAACACTTTTTACTGCCTGACAGGCCTGTGTATTCCCAAACATGCTGCCTGGCTTTGAGCTGTGGCTCACAGGTGGGCTTGTGCTATCCACCACATTGGTATGACTGTCTTTCCTAAGGTTAGGGTCCAACTTCATCCAACAATAACCACTAAGCACAACCAAAGATTTTGTGACTAGCTGCTCTATAGAAATCCATAGCTGGTTTCATGCTAGCCCAGGACAGAAACTTCTTGGTACTTTTGATTGGGTTCTCTTCACTAGAAAAGAAACTCTGAGCTCTAGAGACCAGCCCTCAATCTGTTGTCTGCCAGGCCACCTTCCTGAGTCTGTTCTGGGGATGTTTATCCAGATTAGAAATCAGAGCCCTGACTAGAAATGAAAGCCCAGATGCAAGGCAGGGAGGAAACTCCTCCTTTCTCTTAGAGCATTATCTTTAGAAACTTCTAGCTGCTAAGCTCTGGCTCTGTCCTCTCTAAACAAATGTAAATCTTTTCGAAACTAAATAAGCTTCTTGCCAGCTTGACAACCTACTGCCTTCCTCAAAGGTCTGGGAGCCATCCATTGGAGATATGAAACAGGCAGGAAGCCCAGAGGCCTCTCTTCCTGGGGAAAGTGGACGCCTCCCTCCAGCAGGCTGGCACCTGGGCAGAAAACTATTTTTTCTGCCATAAAAATACGTTTATTTTTAATTTGGATAAGGGCAAATATCTAACAGATAGTCACCCTAACAACCAGATGGACTCATAGTGAGCTGCATGTGACATCCTCCTGCTTGACGACCAGACATGATTTGTTGTGAAAACATGTGTGGCGGTGGGAGGCATCTCCCTGGGCTACGTCCCGAGCTTGAGTCCGACTGCTGTCACTTCCTCCTGTGTGGGGCCCTTCTGTGGAGGCAGCAGGTCATGTTTGCAGTTCTGTTTCCCCATGGGAAGCATTGCCATTGTGTTTTCTCAGACACTGAGACCCACTGGTGACAGAGAAGAGGGAGTAGCAGGAAGTTGAAGGCAAGCCCTACCTGAAGGGACATCTGGGGACTGCAGCTCCCTCCTGCCCACCATCCGTTACCTCTAGTTCCCTCTATCTGTGTGTGAGTGTCTGCATCCCACACCTTAGAGACCATCTCAAGAGGCTTAGAGGACCATAAACAGAGAGGTCAACTGGTCATACAGAGACTCAGACTGAGAGTGTGGGCCAGGAACGCGGAACAGAGCTAGAAGGCCAGGACTCAACTCAACCTGCACCGCATGTGAGAAGCCCTAAATCACCAGTCAGAGCACCACTTCACCCACTCTGGCTTCTAAGTTCTACTTCAAAAGTAGAAGTGGAAGAACTTTGGTTCCTGGTGGCCCAGCCTGAGCATTACCTTTACGTGTCTATCCATGCCACACCAGGCAGGAAGAGCGACGCTTCCAGGGTCTCATCAGGAACAGATGTGGGAATAGAAGGAAGAAGGCCCACACAGGCCCAAAGGGATGAGGACAGACATGAGATGGGGATACAGAAAAGACAGAAGCACATGTGGGCAGGCCATGTCTTTTGAGAGCTACATGTCTGCAGAAGGCAAGCTAGGAAAGCCAAGCCCAGGGTAGGCCCTGCACATGAACACTCCCCTTAGGTTCTCATGCCTCCATGCCATACCCTCCAAGTGTGCCTCTCATTCCACTTGCCATTCTGCCATGCCATTTACATTGTTCCTCTCCATAACTCATTTGACACACCAGCCAGCTGACTGAAGAGACACCCAGGAAGCAAGTGAGCACGCTTTCCACCTAAACACCCTAGTAGGATGTAGGAGCTAAGGAGCAGGTGCACCCCACCACCCCACCACACACACACACACAGGCATGCACGCATGCGCACACACACAAATGCCTTCCTATAATATGGCCTCAAGAGACAAGAAGACAAGCTGGTCTATCAAAGGGGCCTGAATCCCAGTCTTGACCCTGTCCTCTCTTCCTTCTATCATCCACAAGCAATATCAAGACAGGGCATACACAGGCAAGTCCCTGGTCACTCTCATCTCCCTGTGGCCTGCTAGTGCCTAGAGACCCACACTGACTCAGGTTGCAGTTTGGATATGAATTCCCCTGACAGGAAGCCCCCAAACCATCAGCTGCTCTGCCAACTGCAGAAACACAAGGAGGGGACTGTGGCCTGCAGTAGGTGGTAAGGCCTGGACCGGGGAGATAACGCACACAGGTTGCAGAAGTAGGAATGGGGTGAGGCCAAGTGCCAGGGACCAGCAACTCAGGGAGCTGCCCCGGCCTCCCACTCACGCCTCCCATAGTGCAGGCTGGGTGGAAAGGGCCTAACATAAGGTTACAAATTCAAATTATGAAGGTCTGAGGATGACAAGGCTTAAGTGATGATCAAAAAAATAATGTCATTTGAGACATTCAAAAGAATGAAACATGCTCCAGATTTCTCTTTCTCATTATGCTACTATTCATAGCCTTAACATTATTAACCAATAAAGTTCTGATAAGCTATTAATCCAACTCTGACAGGGTACTAAACACCATACTATACCACTATATGATCATAACTGCAAGCTCAAGATTAAAGTGCTTTTCATTATTCCAGATGAAAGAAAAATGTTAATGCTTTCAACCAAATCATTTCTGACATGAGTATACTGCCATTTCTACAATGCAAATTCCAGTACAGATCATAAACAATGAAAATGCTAATGTGTCTAAAACTTATGTTTTCAGAACTCAAAGGATTCTTATAAGTTCCAGGGAGCCAAATTGGACCCACCCAAACAGGTCAGATTCATTCCAGTTAAATATCATTCAACCTTTCTCTGGTCCTGGGACTCCCTTCCCTCATCTTGGGACCCACTCAGGAACCCTCCTTCATCTTATGATCCTCCTCCCCTCAAGTACCAGTACCTAAAAAAAAAAAAAAAAGAAAGAAAGAAAACAGAAAAAACAATTCCTAAACTTAACCTTGTCCTCTGCTCTGCCAACATCTGCCAGGTCTAAGAGGTGCTAGAGAGTACCATGCAGCCTGGACTTCCAAGAAACCAGCTATCCCAGGACAAGGCAGCACAGCAGCACCCCAGCTTTCTCAGGTCCCCCAAAGATAGGGGACACCCTTATTCCTAACCTGCCACACATAATTCCTCACCTTTTAAATAATAAAGATGGGAATATAAGGACTCAGGCATTATGCTGGCCTGCCCCTGTGGCCTGGCAGAATGCACTCAGGCAGTACCCTGGTCAGCATGAAGGTGCAAAGGACCCTTTAAAAGACCCCTTCCCACTTACACTCTCTTTCTCTCTGTCTTTCGCTGTTCCCCTGGGGCAGAGAGGACTTTTTCTGTCTCTCTCTTCTCTTCTGTCCTCTCTCTGTCTCTGTGCCTCCCTCCCCCCCTCTAATAAAACTTCTCACTAAGCTCTGTCTGCCTGGCATGTTTGTCCCTCCACCTTGGTCATACTGGCCTGCCATGGAATCTGCCAAGGTTCACCATGAGCTTTATCATAACACAGGCCTCTGCCCAGGAATGGAAGCAGAAGCGAACAGTACTTCATACCTCCTTTGTCACCAGTAAAGCAGGACTTCCAATGACAAAAGCCCAGCCACTGGCTTTTCTTGGCCCAGAGGTCCCGCAAGGTCCTGATCCTGTTGAGTTCTCATCTATACCAACAACCCTAACCCTTCCCTGGAGACCCAGTGGGAGACATCCTGCCTCAAGGCCCTCCCCACCTGGCCAATTCCCTCTACCTTACTTCTCTTTCTAGCAAACACATTTTTCCCAACACTCACTGACCCTACCTGTCCTCTCAGGGCACCCCACCTGCGACATCATACTTCTGCTTGCTTTCTCTGCCTGCCAGCCTCACCAGGGAATTGCCAGAAAGCTGGGACAGCATCTGCATAAAGACAGGTAAGGGCAACATCTGTACCTCTGTGCCAAGGAGGTTCTCAGATGTCCCCTTGAGGAAGAGGATGTGCATCCCTCAAGCCCACACTGATCTGAGGATGGGGTAAGGGGCTTCCTTGACAGTGACCTGGGGAAAGAAAGAACAGGTGGTCAGCAGGAACAAGGAGAGTGTCACTAGCTGCTGGACATTGGCTAAGTATCAAGCACTCAGCTAGCAAAGCCTACATCATTCTTTAACTAAGTAAATCCTGCCTCCGGCCATGTAAATGCTGGCACCAGGACAGATGAAGAGGAGGGAGGCTTGTCCCTATTGGTGTACTCTCCATAACTATGTAGCCTCCAAGAGAAGGTAGAAGACTTGCCTGGAGGGCACCTGTAGCCAAGACAACCCTAAACTCCCAGTCCCTCATTTTCAGGAGTTTGGCTTCTATGACCAAGTGTGATTATTTAAATTCAAATGAGCTGGAAAGATAGTCCATAGGCTAAGAACACTGGCAGCCCTTCCAGGAGACCAGGGTTCCATTCCCAGCACCTACATGGAAGCTCACATCTGTCTGTAACTCCAGTTCCAGGAGATCTGACTCCCTCTTTGGTCTGCCTGCATGTATGTGCTGCATAGACATACACACAGGCAAAGTAAAAATAAGTCTTTTTTTAAAAAGACATTCCACCATTATACAAGCATATCAGTGTGAATGCAACACATCAACACACATCACTACACTGTCCAATTGTGACAACAGAAATGGAAGCAATCATGATATAAGTCTTCTCAAAGTTTAATGTAGTAGGATATTCATGTAATCCAAGCTTTCAGTAAATAGGAGCCTCAGGAGTTCAAAGCCAGCCTAAACTATCAAGTTCAACACTAGCCTTGGTTACATGAAATCCTATCTAAAATAAATAAGTTTTTGAATATCCAGAGCCACATTAACATGCCTATTCATGCCAAGAAACAGAATTTTGGTAGGCAGGAAGCCCTGTGTGGTCTTATGGGACATAACGACTAGACTGTGCCCAGCAGCCATGCAGTGTGAGGTCATTCAGGGCCTAGCCCACAGGTAAGCATCAGGCCCTTTCCTCTCCCAAACATTGGATGAGCTGAGTTACCCCAAGTTTCTCCCTTGAGTCCACACCCAAGGCTGGCGAAGTTCTTTCAGGCCTCCACACCACACTTAGAATGGGACTCAGGAGCACATTCTGCATCACCTGTCACTAATCCTAAGTCCAGGCCTCACTGTTTCTCACCTAAATGATTTAAAAAAAAAAAAAATCAATGACATCACTTAGTGCATCTGTTCTCAACCTGTGAGTGGCCTAAGACCAGAAAGCTGATATTTACACTATGAATCATAACAGTAGCAACTTCAAAACATTTGATGGTTGGGGTCACCACAACACGAGGAACTATATTAAAGGGTGGCAGCATCAGAAGGTTGAGAACCACTGCTTAGTAGGTAAAAGTCCTTGACATGCAAACCTGTTGGCCTAAGTTTGATACCCAGAACCCATGTGAGAACCAACTCCCAAAATTGTTCTCTCTCTCTCTCTCTCTCTCTCTCTCTCTCTCTCTCTCTCTCTCTCTCTCACACACACACACACACACACACACACACACACACACACACTCACTCACTCACTAAAGTACTACTGATTTTCTTGGTTCCTGCAATCCATCTGCCACCCAGAACCCAAACTGGCTTTTCTAAAACTGTAATTTGGACATTTTACTCCTTTAACATACTTCAAGGACTCCCTAACACTTGGAGATTTAGCCAAAATGCCTTGGCAAGGCTATTCAAAATTTAGTCTCTAGTGACCTTCCCCCATTACCCCACATACGCCATCACTCAGTGCCAAGATTTGTTGTTTTCTCACCCACCTACACAACTCTAACCTGTCTTGCAGTGACTTTGTCCATACCCCTTCCAGGCTCAAATCAGGGGTCACTTTGCCAGACAGACACCTTTTGGAGAAACAAAGTTACTGTTTATGTGTCATCCAAACCAGTACCTAGAGTAATTATCATCATCAGTTTTTCTATTATCACCAGAAGATCAAAAGGATACCTCTACCACAGCACACAGTACAGGCCCCAGACTTATAGATCATTACAAAACACAGTTATGAGGGCTCATTTAAATAAATGTCAGCCCACAACTGATTGACAGAATCATAGAATCATGGAACTTTGGAGATGACAGGACACAATGCTATGGAATGTTTTCATGTTATTGTTTAACACGGGTATTTTTAAAAAAAAAAAAAATCGAACAAACAAAAATGCAGAGCCTGGCTGTCACTTGACTCCAACCTCAGGTGACCACACCCAACCTTTGCTGAAGCTGGAGACCATTCCAGACGGTCGCCCACATCACACCCACTAAAGCTACTGCTCCACCACCCCGAAAATGCGCACACAGCTTAACTTCTGCGTGTTTTCTTTCGCTTTTTCTCCTCCATCCTCATCCCGGCTCACGGAATCGCTCACTTAGGGATCACCTACTCTGAGTCTGTAGCAGCACTGAGATTCCTGTCTCCAGAAGCACGTCTACGCGGGGGTGCGGTGGGGAGTGAATGGCAGTCACAGAGAACTCAAAACAACCAGAGGGGCCGCGCGTAGGTGACTCTCGGTTCTTCAATGGCCCTACCCCTTGACCTCGGTGCCCTGGCCTGCCGCCCTCCCAGCCGGCCTCAGGTCTCTCCCCGCTGCGCTGGGCAGAGTGCTGGCGGTGCAGAAAGTTGGAGCCTGGAGCTGGAGTGAGCGGGACTCGGGCACCTCAAGGCCCTGGACTCATCCTTCTACAACCCTGGACAGCGAAGCAGCGGCAGGGCGTTGGACAATCCATGCACCGCCCTTCCCTTCCCGGAATGCACAGGGACTCGGGGAGAGGGAACCTGGAAAATAAATACCTTTGACTTTGTGGCTAAGGTTAACGGGAACTGCTACCCAAGAAGCGACTTGGGGACAGGGATCCGGGCCGTGGCCAGTCCGGGGCAGACAGGGCGGGCGGTGCTTGTGATTGGCTGGCTGCCCTGCACCGCCCCGTCTGTGGATTGGCTGTGTGGCTCAGATGACACTCCTGGCCCTATCGGAGCAGCCCGCGGGGCGGCCCCTTTGTTCTTCAGAGCCAATAGCCAGGGTCTGACCTCGCCCGCGGACGAGGTCCCAGAGCGGTGAATCTGTGTGCTGTCCACTGCTGGAATAGGGACGGTGGTCTCCAGCCACTTATGCTGGGCGACATTACGTCGTTGCTGCTCCACTGTCCACCGGGTGCCTTTGCGCGCTCTGCCTCCTCACAAGCGCCTCTAGCATCTGAACTCACAACATAGGTGCGGGGGGGGGGGGGGCCCAGTAACTAGTATTCTGTAGGTGCCACTGGTGTCCACGCTGGCATGCCAACGTGAACCACATAGAAACCACTCTTAGGAATCCTCTCTGGAGAATATGTCCTTTTCAATGTGACCCTTTTTCTTTACTCCCTGAAAGCTGTGTTCAGGTGGCACTACACACACCGCCTGCACACGTTGCAGGACTCTAGCACCTCATGAGTGTGCAATGAGCCATCCTCAGCACCTCAACAGAACACAGTCATGATAAATGATGTTTGGTGTTGTCTGGGAGTGGCCTTGGAAAACGTTGCAGTTGGGAGGACTTTTTCTAGCTGAAGAGGTTACCTTACTGCACACTAGGGTTCAGTAGAGTGAAATATCTTCAAGCTGCTGATTCCAGACTGCCATGGAGGGTGGTTGATTCCCAAACACCTCCAGGAAAGTGTTTCATCTCCACCCCCTTCCATCCCTCTGAAAGGAATTCCTCCCACTACTGCCTTGAGTTGGGTAAATCCTCTCACTCCTGCCTCAGGAATCACAGTGGGGTCAACTGGAGAGGAAGTGCACTTTCGCTCTAGAGCTACTTTGAAGGTATATTTGGAATCAAGTTGGATGGCTTCCTGTGAACCCTATTATGGGACCAATCTGCAACTAATCAATCTGGGTTTGCTCTAGGCCGAGGTACTGTCCAGCATAATGGAAACTGGGACGGAATTTCTACCCACTTCTCAGTAACTTAACATGTAGAAATCACGAAAGAGACTTTTCTGTTTCTGGACTTTGATGTATTTGCCTGTGAAACAGATGGATAAGTTTCCACCTGCTTATGTATCTTTCCCACCTCTCAGAGCAGCATTCTGGTTCCAGATCTTCCACCAGCTAGTGTGGCCCAGGAACAGCAAGCAATTCCACTCTAGAGGGACAGATGTTCTCCAGGCTGACATTCCAGGACCAAGGCTGTTTCAGGGGTGCAAAGATTGAAGCACATCTGGGAGTACTCCTCATCAAGCAAAAGCAAGGCAGCTGAAAATTCACAAGAAATGGCTGGAAGAAAACTCTCCAAGCTGAAGGGCCCAGGAAGAGTGTTTAAACACACAAAGAGAAGCTGCACATGGTGATGCTTGCTTGGAATGAGGATCAGTAGTTGAAGACCAGCCTACCTTACATAGTGAATTCAAGGCCAGCCTGGAGGAGCTATGTGAGATGTTGCCCCTCCCTCAAAAAAATTAAACTATGTATGTGTTGTACACATACATATATACACATACAGGGAGAGCATGTATCATAAAATTTATGTAAATGTGTATGGGGTATTGCAATATGAAGGTCAGAGGACCAGGGCAGGTGTCTTCAGGCTCCTATTTTCGTAAGACAGGGTCTCTAATTGGTCTGGAACTTCATCAAATAGCCTAGGTGACCAGCAACATACTGGGATCTCACTACCTGTGGTATTTCAATTGTGAGTCACCATTCTTAGCTTTTTACATGGCCTCTGGGAGCTAAACTCTGGGCCTCAGACTTCAAAGGAATATGTTCCACAAAGTGAGCCATCTCCCCAACTTTAATATTATATAAGCAAAAGCAGCACACTAATTTAACGTTTGGTATGTAGTAGTGGTCAAGAGTGAAATGGGAATGTGCTCCTGGAAGGCATCACTCTCCCTATGGAATGAGGGGGGGTGAGAGGGGGACATGGGAGGAGGGAGGGAGGGAAGGAGGGGGAACTGGGATCGATGTGTAAAACAAAGAGCAGAAACGGGGAGCTGGGGAGGTGGCTGACCAGTTAAGAGCACTTGCTGCTCTTGCAGACTTGGTTTTGCTTCCTAGAGCTCACATGGTGGCTCGCAACCATCTATAACTACAGTTCTAGGGGGTTTAATACCCTCTTCTTGTCTGGCCTCCACAGGTACCAGGTACACACATGTACATAGACATCCATGAAGGCAAATGGACAGACACGCACGCACGCACGCACCTTTAAGAGAAAGAGAAAAGGGGACAGGAGCAGACAGACTTGAGTCTTAGACAGCTTCTAGTAATCAGCATTACAGGATCACATGCAAGTGTTTGCATGAATTTAAAGGGAGGAGAAGAGCATCCATGGCAGCCCATCAGGTAGAACGTCTTAGCAAAGTCCATTCATAAAAACTTTCTTATTCTTATGCACAAACTCTCTATAGGGACTGATGCAGAGGTAACAGGCAAGAGGGCCTATTGGCACCCAGCAAGACTAGCACTCAGCTGTGTGTCTAACTATCAAAACAAACCTTTGTTAAGGCCAACCAGGAAGACCCTGCCAGACAGATGAAACTAGCGCCTTCTCCTCTTAGGGAACCTGGTGACTGAGCACGTGTCTCTGTGGATCTGTAATCAGTGTCGGAGCATGTGTTAGCTGAAAGCTTCTTTGCTGCTCAAAACACCTCTTTTCCCAGAGACTCCTTTTCATAACAACCTGACAAAGCTGCAGATGTCAGCACGCTGCACACGAGGCTCTCAGCGATGTGGCACAGAGGCTGAAGTGGGGAGGAATACAGTGAATCTTGGGTCCAACATTCCTAGGCCTTGATTTCAAAGTAAGCATCCTTGTTCTCTGGTGCTTTTGCCCACCACCTGAATTTGCTCAGGCTCAGGTATGTCTAGCTCTGCCTCCAGCAAGGACTGCGAGGAGAGTACAGAGGTCCTCAGCTGCTGCCTAAGGCCCCAGTCTGACTCCTTTTCAGGAAACAGTCGTATTCCTTCCCCCATGACCAAAGCTCCCACAGAAAGGAACACAGCCAGCCATTACTTCTAAAACCAAATCTTTATTCTCTAGTTTGAAAAGGAGGGTAAAGGGTTGTTTAGATCCAGAGAACAAAACAAGACCCAGTAGGCAGAAATCATAGGAAAGCAGAATCCAATCATTATAAGTAAGGATTTCTAACAATTAGACTCACCCTACAATAGAATCAGTGCCTCTGGAGGTAAGAGTGCCCCAGCACCCAGGTGAATGGGTAGAGGCTGGCATCCTCACCCTAGAAACTTAAAAAAAGGAAATCTACCCAGGATGTTCCCTGCAGTCAAACCCTCAGCATCTGTGAGCTAGTCTTTCCCAGAACTCCTGAAGCGCTGGAGAGTTAGGGGTTTAAACAAAACCACCAAGGTAGCCCTATACTCTGGTGGTGGTGGGGAGCACAAATAAAGCCAGGCAGGTGAAGGAGTAAATAAATGTTTACCCTGGAGGGACAACCGGCAATCATAGATGGGCCTCTACACATCTGGGTACCTATACAGGAGGCACTGTAGAAGGGCACTGGTTAAAAAAGAAGATACAGCTCAGCTTCACCTGTCCTGCTGCCTAACAAAGTCAGCAGGTTCACCAAGGTGTATCCAGCTGGCCCACTTTCCCTGTCCCAGGATTCATTTACTAATGACTATACCACACCTACTTCCAAAAAAATGACCTGAAGTAACTCATAATGAAGACTGGGACATTAAGGCGTTTACACCAGAGGATGGAGTGGCTCCCTTCCCACTGGTGGCTCCTCTAGCCGAGGACTCAAAGGGTACATGGAGCTGCTATTGCTACTCTTCCAGGGTCCAGGGCAGTCTGAATTGACCCTTAGAAAACCCAGCTAGGCACCGGCTAGCTCAAAAGCCAGGTCCCTGCATTCTATAATCGGTTCCCTGACCCCTCTGGGGAAACTCTATTCCTAAACAGAGCCCAGATCACTGACTCCACCTCCCCTGTCCCTCTGGGATCCCACGTGTCCCTCCAGCAGCGTCAGTATAGGCACCCCCACACGGGCCCTCTGCCACACTGTTGCCAAGGACAACCAGGCCTATTCTCCTTGACCTACCACCCCTCTTAGGCATCGTGCTTCTTCTGGTGCATCAAGAGTCGATCCTCGTCGTCAAAGGTCTGACCACAGATGGCACAGCAGAAGGCACCATCCCGGATGTGGCTCTTCCGATGTGTGATAAGGTTGGACTTCTGGCTGAAGCTGCGGTCACAGTCGGGACAAGCGTAGGGCCGCTCACCCGTGTGAATGCGCCGGTGTGACACCAGGTTGGACTTCTGACTGAAGGCTTTGCCACAATCTGGACACACGTAGGGCTTCTCGCCAGTGTGGATGCGCCGGTGCGCAGCCAAGTAGGGCTTGTGACGGAAAGCCTTGCCACAGTCGGGGCACACGAAGGGCCTCTCTGGCGCATGGTCACGCCGGTGGGCTGCCAGGTGGCTGCCCTGTGAGAAGCGGCGCCCACACTCCTCGCAGGCAAAAGGCCGCTCGCCCGAGTGAACGCGCGAGTGAGCCACCAGGTGCGTCTTCTTGCCGAAGTTCTTACCGCACTCGGGGCAGACGAAGGGCCGCTCGCCTGTATGCTGTCGCTGGTGTAATCTCAGGAAGCGCTCCAGCCGGAAGCTGCGGCCACAGTCGGCACAGCGGTGCAAGGGCACAGATGCCTCGGCCGGGGTCCGCAAGGACCCCAGAGAATCCCCTAGTGTAGGCTGTGTCATGGGCTCCGTGGCAACCTGGGGGCTCCCGGTGAGAGAGGCTGCCTGCGCTGAGACCTCCGAGCGCTTGTGGATTTTGCTGTGTGACAACAGGTTGGGTTTGTGGCGGAAGCGGCGACCACACTCGGTGCACGGGTAGGGCTTCTCGCCGGTGTGAATGCGCCGGTGTGAAGTAAGGTAGGGTTTGTTGGTAAACCGCTTCCCACATTCTGGGCACTGGTGTGGTCGCTCACCAGTGTGCACACGGCGGTGAGCAATCAGGTTGGGCTTGTGTCGGAAGCGCTTGCCACAGCAGGCACACTGGAAGGGGCGGTCAACAGCATCTCCACCTGGCCGGGGGGCAGTCACTGCCGGACGGCCCCGGGGCCGAGGACCCAGGGCCTTGGCAGCTGCCTCCTCAAGGGCCTCCGTAACGTGCACACGCTTGTGAACAACCAGCTGGTCCCACTGGGCAAAGCTCCTGCCACAATTGCCACATATGAAGGGCCTGGCCTCAGGAGCAGGGGCATGGCACCTCCGCAAGTGAGCTTGAAGCTGCTTTTGTCGCCAGAAGCGTCTGTCACATTCGGGACAAATGATGGGCCGCTTTGCAGCTGAGTGAGCCCGCAGGTGCAGCACTAGAGCTACCCAGCCTTGGAAGTTATGCCCACAGAGTTGGCAGGTGAAACCCACATCAGGGATGGCAGAGGCATGAACCTGAAGGTGCAGCGCTAAGAAGGGGGCGTGGCGAAAGCGCTGGTTGCATTCCTGGCAGGGCAGCGGCAGCCGGGCCTGGCATCGTCGAGTGTGAAGCCACAGGGTCACCCAGCCCGGGAATCGCCTCCGACAGTGGGCACAACGATGGACCTGGCCTGGGGCTTGGCCTCTTGACTGAGCTACTGACTTGCCCTGGTGCTTCAGCCCTCTGTTGGACTGGGAGGACTCCTGGGAAGGCCCAGAAAGGAGCCTGGGCTGGGCTGGGCCCATAGCCATGGTGCCCCTGCAGCGCCGTTCCAGCATCAGTTCTTCCTCTGCTGAGGGTGGAAAAGCACAGTCACTGCAGGAACTAACCCCAGTTGCTCCCTTTCCATCCCAAGGAAGAAAAAGCTTCCGTCTAGGAACTGCTAGCACCATTCTATTCTATTATGTCTTCAGTTTCTAAATAACATTTCTAGGATCTTTATATCTTTATTGCCCTGGAACTTTCAGAAGGGAGACATGCTGACACTCACTGGGGTTCCCACATGGTATCTACCCTAGTGTCAAGAGGACTTACAGAACGTATTCTTGCCTACTGTGCCTGCTCTACTGCAAAACTTCCCTGTTGCCTTAGCTCCCTACTTGACACATGAAGCGTGGCGGTACATGCCTGAGAGGACACTGTAAACCACTAGCAGACCAGAGCTGGGGGACAGGTCTCATGAACTCCCAGGCCAGTGTGTGTTCCTCTTAGAACCAAGGTGTGAAAGACCTCAAAACCAAAAGGTTAAACCCTTGAGGGCGGTACTTTCAGCCCCACCCCATGTCTGGAGGGCAAATGGGAACAGCCTTTCTTCAGAACAGGATGGGAGCAAGGGGCCTCTCCTAGCACAGACTAATGCCAGACTGCCCACATTCTACCTACCAGCCCTTGTCACTCACACCCAAGCAATGACAGCTGGGACACTGAGAGAAGGAACACCCACAGTCTGCAGCAGGGGCAGGAAGGGGGATCCCTGGCTCAGTTCTGGGGTAGCACTGAGACTCCCCAGGGACCTTTCATGTCTGCCCAGGCACAACCTCCTGAATTCCTTTACAACCTGCTCTCTTCTGGTGAACTGCAGACAAGACTCTCCCCTGCCCCCACTGGCTGAACCCAGGGATGACTTCATGTTAAGAGAACTGACTCCTTCCCCAGTAAGTTCCTTTCTTGCCCTAAGGGAGACCTGAGCATGGGTTGGTTTGAGGACACAGGAAAGGCCAAACTCTACCCCGGAGACTGCAGAGCTGGGGATGAGGCTTTTTCCAGCTGCTTCTGGGAATGTTCCTGGGAATACTTCTGCTGCAACGCCTGCTTCGGCCCACACTCTGGTAGCCCCCGGATGTCAGAGAAAACTGTAGCAATAAAGACATCCCTATCCCCGTGGCAGAGCTCAGACCTCTAACTGCAGAGAGGTCAGCCTTACCTGGGGAAGGGACAGAAAACCTATGTGAGGCTCTGCAGCTCTGCCAGGGCAGCTTTGTGTCATCACAGTCCCTCCCCCATCCAAAGCCACAGACTTCAGCCTTAAGCTCCACACCTCTGCCTGGCAAAATGACCTAACGGACACAGGACTAAAGCATGAGTATGGCCCTTCACCAGGAAGAACAGTGCTGCCTTTGGGGGCGGCCTCCTAGCCACAGAAGAATTCTTGATTTGTGGCAAAGATCGTTCTCGATGGTCAAAGGCCGGCCCAGGCAGTAACTCTGGAATCCCTGCTGGCTCCCCTTCCCCCACTCTCCTCGAAACACAAATTCCAGGCCTGTTTCCCGAGGGTCTGCGCAGGGCGCGCCAGTGTGCCCAGGACTCGGCCGGGATCCCCTTCCATCTAGGTCACCCCCGGGTGGCAGCAGGCCCACCCCCCCCTTTGTATTGGTGCGTGTCCTCTGTCCACATTCGCTGGCACACTAGACGGGCTCCTACGAGGGAGCGGGCCATTTCGGGTCCCACGCACAGCGCAGCCCGCGGAGCCTGTGCGCAGGTGCGCTCGCCCTCCGCCGCCCCCGCAACCCCGCGCGCGCGCGGGCCCCACAGTCGCCCACACTCGCGGTCACGCGCCCCGCAGGTGGAGCTGCCCCCGCGCGCCCTCGGTGGCCCCTGTGCCCCTACTCGGGCCATACCTCTCCCGCGTGCCCTGCGGGGACGCGGCACCGATCCATGGAGCCCCAGGCCGGCCTCTACCGCCCGCTCCCTGCCCGCCGCGGCGACAGCGGCAGGTTCGAGTTCACAACTGCCAGGCCCGTCCCCAACCTCCCCCCTCCGGGTTCCCAGCGCCACGTGACTACAGGAGCTGCGGAGGGTCAGTCTCGGCTAGGCGGCCGCGGCCCGGGGGCGGGGCGGGCCAGGTCACCCGAGCTTCTCTCCGCCTGGGCAAACGGCCCGGGAGGGCCCCCGCTCCGTAACCATGACAGCCACCGGCCGAAGCTCCAGTTTCTCAACCCTCTGTCCCTACAAAGAACGCTCGCCCCTGGGCCACCTCGTGGCCAGGCTGTGGTCACTGCGCCTGGCCCACCTGCACTGGCTTTTTAAAGACTCAGAACCTGAGAGGACTGGACGCCGACGGTTCCACTGTCGTCGAGCCAGGAACTTTGCCCAGGCCGCTCTAGCTTGGGACTGCAGTGGGACAGTCGCTCACCAGAGCTGCAGAGCCCATGGCAACGAAGCGCACCCCGCACGCGCCCGGACGGAGAATGAATGTGAACTCTGCCAGGGCTTCTGTTCCCACAACTAAGATCCGGAGTTGCCTGCCCTCCAGAGCTGCAGGCCTGGCCCAGGTGGCTGTTGGCACAAGTGGGTCATTTACACTTGGAAACGCACTGCAGCCAGTGTGGCGTCTGCGGGGGCAGGTGCAAGCCTGTGGTGATGACTCACCCACTAGCAAGTGGCCTTGGCGTTCCAAAGGAACCCTATCTTGGAGCTTCCAGACCAGTGCAATTTCGTGTCCTTTCATGCTTTCAACAGAGACAAGTTTTGAATTGTACATTATTTTAAAAACACTTTTAAAATCTCTCCCACACGTAGAAAATAAAGGGCCATCTAGCTCTCTCATATATTAGCCCCCTAGAGTCAATTACATTCGGTATTTTGACATACTCTGATATTCTGAGTAACATTTTATGTTGAGGTTGTTGCCTGAGGTAATCCCTCTGTATATGCAACTGTATATGTAAATGTATATGTATATTAAAATATTACGTTTTCTCCCATTTCATTGTTATTTAATATATTCTTTCATATACTTTAATGGCTGCATGAATATGCAAATAGATTACAAATCATTGCTATCTCCGTATATATTAATGTTTCATTGTACATGCTCAGTATCAAACTTGGAGATGGAAACAGATGGTCAAAGACAAGATTATATATATGTGTGTATATACACATATATATTTTTAATGAATTTTCAAAACTTATTACTTTTTCCTGAGAAATAACCATTTTTCCATTCCCTTAACAACATGAGCTACTTTCCCAAACTTAATTAAAATGACTTCGTTTTGTTTCTTGGATTGTTGGTTTGCTGAATTGTTTCTTCCAGGTGATTTTTTTTTTTAAATCAGTTTATGCTATGAGAATTTGTCCTTTGTTTCAAGGTTGGGAAGTGGTTTTGTTGTTTGGGGTTTATGCTTAAAGGTGTTAATCTGTCATGTATGTGGAAGATGTTTTCCCTTAAACTGTTCCTTCGGCTGGGATGTGGGAACCAGGACTCACTATATAGCCCACACTGGTCTCAAACCCTAACCTGGAATTACAGGCATGCCCACCACACTCAGCAACTTTCACTTTTGAAGTGAAAAATTTTGGTTGTATATGCTAAAACCTGCCCATCTTTTTCTTTCTGATGTTTTCCTTTAGATTTGTGTTTAGAACTTTACCTCCTCCATCCCCAGTTACATTTATAGTTTCATTGCAGAAAGTGAGTTTTAACATTTCTGTTTCAGTGTTCCCTACAGCAATTCTGTCTTGTGTTAATTTGAATTTCAAAACTCATCTAGAATCACTCCTCTGTTTTTCCACATGAACTTTAGAACTTTTCAATATTTGAAACCCTGTTTGTGTTGGGAGAGAACAGAGATGTGTGCACTCTGTCAAATAGATGCACTTTGCATCTCACCCTGGAGTTGCTGCTATGTGGGCTTTCATGGATTGTAGAACTTCCCTTTCCACAAACATGGATAGAGCATCTGTGGAGCAGATGTCCAGCACAGTAGTTGCAGAAGCTGATGCAGTAAGACCCTCCAGTTCCATCTGCATGTTTTCTAGGAATGTTTAAACCCTTGGGGGACTTAATTTGTATCCGATGTGGTGATTAACCCCTCTCACTGCTGGCCAGTGCAAGCCTTTAATCCCAGCACTCTGGAGACAGAGAAAGTCATATCTCTGTGAATTCCAGGCCAGCCTGATCTACCTAGTGAGTTCCAAGACAACCAGGGCTACACAGAGAAGCTTTGTCTCCAAAACCAAAGCAAAACAGAAACCCTCTTACATACATCTCATTTTGTCCCCTCAACAGCCCTTTGAAGCAGACTCCCTGGTTCTCATGTTACAAATGACACAGCTGGGCCTTGCAGATGTTAGAGGGCTAACTGGGCGGCCAGAGTACTGCAGAGTGGGCAATGGAAACAGGAGCAGCACTACCCAGCCTAACCCTTAACCACTGCAGTTTTAGGGATTTGGAGGAGGGAGCACCATATGCTGGGCCCAACAGAATAAATGTGAAATGTAAAATGCTTGTGGCTAATGAGTGTGCAGATCTGATGCCTCAGGATCAGTAGAGTTGATTATTGCATTTTTGCAATAGCCTCTCAAGCATAATTCATACATTCAAAGAGACCCCTTTGTCACATCTGTGATCAGCCCTCTCCTTTCTTAAACAAGGCCCTAAACGAGTTCTCAACCTGTAGATCTCAGCCCCTTTGAGGGTCACATATTAGATATCCTACATATCATATATTTATATTATGATTCATAACAGTAGCAAAATTATAGTTATAAAATAGCAATGAAATTTTATGGTTGAGGGGTCATAACAGCATGAACTGTACTGAAGGACTGCAGCATTAGGATGAACAACATCCCTAAACCATTCCTTTTCTTCCCACCCCTGAAGGAAGTACCTTGTCTCCCCCACCAACCCCATTCAGTAGATATTACCTGTACTTTTTTCTCAATAAAAAAAAACAGAGTACCAGCCTTGACTCTGCAGGGGAAAGTAAATGCCAGGGGTTTGGACAAGGATTCCTGAACCTTTGTACTGGTCAGACATAAAAGGCCTTAGATTTGTGGGCTTCAGTCTGTACAGTGTCAGAGGCATGAAGACACAATCCAGCAACCAGCCAAATGGCCAAGTGATCTAGCCTAATGTAGAATATCCCAGCTTTTGACATGTTTACTGGAGTGGTATAGGGTCAGACCTGGCTAAGGGCCCACTGGAGTGCTCTGGGAGATTTATTTTCTCTTCTTGAAGAGCCTGGTCTTTGTTTTGAGTTACATAGCTAAATGGGTAAGCAGCTGGAGGATGAAAAACTATGTCTCTAGAGACCCTGTCTGTCTGAAGATACCTACATACTTTTTAGCAGCAGCCCCAAGACTGCTGGGCAATAGTAGTCCAAATATTCCACAATTACTTAATCAGTGTGGAACATCTTTCATTGTGCAGGCACTGAGTCCCTTCTTGACCCAGACAAAAGTGGTCCATGCTTGTTTGCTAGAATGAGAAAGGATGACAAGAGATTTTTAACTTTAGTGTGTCATTGGAAATACCTCTTGGGTTAGTTAACACAAAAATTTAAAGCCCTTGTTTGTGTGAAAAGTTGGAGATGGAGGATTGGGAGGGGAGAAGGAAAAATTCATTCTAGTAGATTTCCTATAACTATTCCACAGTAACTGCTGCCTCTAACAGTATGCTGGAAGCAGATTACAATAGCGTCAGAGCTGTTCCAGGAGAGAATGCAGAAGCCACATCCCACACAGACCTGGATAAAGGACAAGCCACTGGGTATAACATCCTACACACCCTGGTTCCTTGGCTCTCCCAGCTGGTGAAAAAGAGAAAGCAGTGGGAGAGACCTACTGAATAGGTCACTTTCAGATATGAAGGAATCCCAGGCTGAGGACAATTAAGGAGTAGATGCAGAGAGGCCCTCTATTCTGCTTGGCCTGGAAGCAGGAGAACCACTTACAAGACAGAAGATGTCCACCACCAGGGAGAGCAAAGGCACTGAGGACAGCTTGAGACCCTGGGAGACCTGGACATAGTACCAAAATTAAACCATCAGCAGGCTTTACTAGTGGTGATGGCCTGCTGCCACTCTTCACATGAATAGTGCCTTGTCACTCACTATTCATGCTGGGGCCCAGGAAGCCCCAGGTCTCCAACATTGGAAAACTAGTGATAAAAAAATTAAAATTAAAATTCACTGTTGTTTATTGCAGATACTGAATGGGCTGGAATTCAAAGCCACCTTGTTGAGAACTGCTCATCCCTGGGTGTCTCCCACCTGTGATATAGGAGGAAAAATACCACTTCCCTCTGGTTAATCCAGTTTAGGTTACAGGCATCTGACCCAACTAAGAATCTGTTGAGGTTGAGGAAAGGAACTGAGGCTGGTCTTGAGTGAGTGAAGACGGATTACCCCCTATAAATGAGGCACTGACTGACAGGTCCTATTCCTACATAGAGAGCTGTGGTGGAAGGGATATGGGGAAGCCTTGTGATAGCAGGCTTTAAGAGTGACTGGGCTGTTAAGAAAGAGGCTAAGGCTTTTCTTACAGGGCAGTGTTGGTTCTCATAAAAGCAGGTTGTTATAGAGTAAGGCTGCCTCTCATTTTCTCTTCCATGCATGCCTGCACTTCCTCTTGAAGCCCACCACAATATGAAATACTATAAGGCCCTCACCAGAAGTGATGTGTTGAACTTCCTAGCCTCCAGGACGGTGAGCCCAGATCAACCTCTTCCTTTATAAGTTTCTCAATCTCAGGTATGTCATTACAATAAAAACCAGACCGAGAGACTAGGAATGGTGGCATTCAAAAGTCTGTGGCAGGAGGATCTTAGTGTTGGGTTGCAAAACAAAAAACAAGACCCTGTCAAAAAACAAACAAACAAAAAAAAAACCAAGTCTGAGGATCTAGCTCAGTGGCAGAGTACACACAAGCCCTACGTTCCATCCCCAGCACTAAAAACAAATAAAGGACAAAAATCATTCAAAGTCAGCTCCTATCTATCCTAG